GTTTTTCATCTCCCTCCATAGACAGTAGTTTTTCATCTCCTGTTGAGACAGTAGTTTTTCATCTCCCTCCATAGACAGTAGTTTTTCATCTCCCTCCATAGACAGTAGTTTTTCATCTCCTGTTGAGACAGGAGTTTTTCATCTCCCTCCATAGACAGTAGTTTTTCATCTCCTGTTGAGACAGTAGTTTTTCATCTCCCTCCATAGACAGTAGTTTTTCATCTCCCTCCATAGACAGTAGTTTTTCATCTCCTGTGGTCATCTTGGTCTCTTCAGTCGACAGATGAAAGCACACGAAGATGAAAGGTAGCTGGCTAGTTATCCCTTGACCTTGATGTCTGCGGCTATTTCCTTCGACCAAAGTACTGCGTTGCGCATCCTGTCTCTAAAGAAACACGGATCAGCCGGAGCAGATGTGTCGGGTCGTGTTTGATCGTGTCAATGGACCTGGGGTTGTGTACCCTGTAGACATTCCCGACCCCAAGCATAACTGGATGTGGGTCCCGAGAGAGGGAGAGTCGCTCAAGTGGCGCGTAACCGGTTGGACGGACATGCGGCAGTTTGAATGTACTATGGATGAATAATTGATTCTAGTACGTTTCTATGTCGTATTCGTATTCAAGATTTGTATTTTTTTACACAAATCCTGCAGCACTGTCGAACGCCGACGGGGCGTCCTCTGTGACCGGTGTTGTGGTGAATTCGCCCGAAACACCCTTTGCCGCGAAGCTTCGCGAAGGCGATGTACTGTTCACACGTGAACCAAGCAAAAGTGTATGGATTGTTCTGTAATATGGATGACTAGGTAAAGGTAGTACTACGTGGATCACACTGAGCCTGCTTAATCTGTTATGCAGGTCAAGTATGTTATGTTAGTAGCCTGAATAGACATAATTTGATATAAACATGAAGGTATAGTAGAAGTACTAGATGCACTGTTCACGGGTGATGAAAAGGCGATGTACTGTTCACGCGTGAACCAATTGTATGGACTGTTCTCTAGTAGACTGTTCTGTGTGCCCTCCCAGATGCCCTCCCAGTAGTACATAAGAGAAGGAACTAGTAAAGTCGGGTGAGTGTCCCCTTTATTTTGCTACTAGTACGAATGTTATCTATGTAGTCATTCACGCGTGAACCAAAGGAAACTGGATGGATTACAATCTTCAAGTTAAATTTAGGATAGAGTTATCGGCTGTACAGGAGTGAATCTACTCATATTTTCTGTGGAGGCATTGGAATAAGTATCAGGTTAGTTTTCCCTCTATCCTTAGGCTTATCCCGTCATGCAATAAGTGCCAGGACTGTGTTGAGAATGAAAATGTGTCTAATTTTTGCTGGATGTTGGGGACTGGCGATTGAGAAGAACGACCAGGGAAATTTGGTGGGAAAGCAGTGCTGGGTCAATTAAGGCTATACTGGTGTAAGAATGCACTTTTTTCCTACCAAGAACTGAACTCAGTTCTTGGTCACGTCTTTTTTATCTCGTCTTACAGTAATTATTCTTGAAGTTAATTTCGGCACACTGTTTTTGTAAAAGACACGATACCAAGAAAAAATGTATCCCTTTCCGCTGCTCGTACAAGACGGAAAAATGTATTATGGATGGACCAGAACTGGGAGGGGGGGATCGCAAAAGGAGGAAGCGCGCCGCAAAGCTCCTGCTGCGGGGGGGGGCGGGGGGATCGCAAATGGAGGAAGCGCGCCGCGAAGCTCCTGCTGCCTGGCAGTTGCCCGCGCGCCTGCCTCTGGCGGGTGCGAGGTACTGCGGCAAGAGCGGGAGAACATAGAGAAACGAAAGGCGCAGCAAGATGCGCCAAGCCGGAGGGACCGGCCGCAGCTTGGTGGCAATCCTGCCAGGACACTGCGCGGCCAAGCGCGCGCGGCTCCCCACCGGGCCCGGGCGCGCATTGCACAAGCCACCGGGGCGTTGCGTTGGCAGTGGGGTGGAAGGAGCAGCCTACAAGAAGGGCCAACGCCAGGCCCCCTATTTTCCGGGCCCTTCTGATACCGCGGCCCCAGTTTCTCCCGGGGCCATGTTGGCCCCAGTATTTCCGGGGACCCCGCCAGAACTATAAGGAACCCCGCGGGAAAATAAGGACCCGGGATTTTTGCGGCCCCGGTCCGATTAAAGGGGGAAAAGCACCGGGGCCCTTATAATACAGGGGGCCCAGTTTTTCCGGTCCATACATACACTACATTGTAAGTCACTCTCTAAGCAGCCATCCGTCCCGACACCAGAATAGCAACCAACTGGGTGTACACAGTAGTAAGCAACGTGAGGGAGGCGGAGGGCAGATGCAGCCGAGCAGTAGACAAAAGGGTGGTCAACATGGTCAAAACCAACAGCAACAAAAGGACCAAGAAGGTTCAACAGACCAAGAAGATATGCCTCAACGACCACAAGTGCTTTTTGGTTCGGAATTTAGACCGCTGAGAGCTAATGCGGTGAATTTGGACGGAGGTATTAACTTTTGTCTACGAAGACCAACAAAACGATGACCTTAATTTTTTTCTAGGACTAGGACTCATCGAAATTTCTTCTTGATCCTTCTTTTATGTCGACCACCAATTTGTTTTTTTTTGATGCATGTATCATGAACACCACCAAACCAAACCCTCAACTACGTACTTCAGGCAACACTGCCAGCACCACAGGAGGAGGAAATGGTCCAAGCAGAGCGCCTGAGCTGCTTTTTTCACGTGCGACAGCCATTGCGAGTGACACGTTCCGAAAATTGCTTGAGGATAGACCTTTGCGTTCACAGCAAGCAAAATGCTGAAGCAGAGGATAAGGATTACCACCACTCGAAGATATGGTGCGTGTATCACGATGAATGTATAGTACAACTAGGAAGGAGGTCTTAAATTAATGAATACTTTTACAACAACCTGATGTGCGTATTGGTGGAGAGAATGTATGCTCTCTCTGAAGACTACGGCGATTATAGTATAATGACGTAATTATAAAACTGTATAAAAATCAACTGAAACTACAGATAACACAATAGAGTAGTTTGATGTGATACAGATACGTGCAATTCCGCTGGTGATGCAATGTCATCACCGCAGATAATAGCGTCTGCAATACTAGGTCGAGCTTCTATGAATTATTCATGAAATAAGAGCATTAGGATTCTGTATGTCAGAAACATTTGAGCACAAGCACTTATCCTTATCCACCTGTATCGATAAATTCTTGGTTCTTTTACTCGTCGTATGTCTATTGCAGATATTAAGTAGGTTGTATGCATTATAATATAGATACTCGTCCTGGCAATCCCGAGACCGAGTCAGTGAGTCTAACATACCAACAGCCGTTTTTTCTTGTGTTCCACTATTACTAACTTCTTCTGAATATCTATCTCCTTCGATTGATGCCTTTCTTCACTTCCCCCAACCTCATCCATCGATCAATAAGGACCTCTAAATATTCATACCTATCATCGTTTGCACATCCATCGTCCGCAAGTCTCTTGTACTAGTCGTATTTGCAAGAAACTTTATCTAACCTCCACCTCAGAAATCACTTCCAATAGCCTGTTATCATTGAAAATCACCCTCAGCTCAGGAAAGGTTCACTACAGAGTACTACATTGAAAACTTCTTTTGCCCCTGAAGAACTCCCCGAAGCCTATGAACAATCTTGTCTACCCACTACTTGTATTTCTCTTCACGAGGACCTAAGACGTCAAAGCACCTCAACAAGTTGGATCGCCATAGAACTCCACCGTGGACGGAATCCGATTTCGGCTAAGACTCTGTCGAAGAACAAACTGTTTCAAAAAAGTCGAGCAGGTTTAGAAATCATGGCACGACTGACAGCGAGCTCATCTTGATACGACGACAGCATCTTCTTGCGAGAATTTTGGTCCGAGGTTGGCAGTAATCAATATATCCCAGCTTAGAACTAGAAGTTGGATGCAAATAATAGGGCAGTTTATAGCACGAATGGTGCATGGGACGAATGGCACGAATGGCATGAATGGCACACCCCAACAGACCCCAAATGCGTCACGAATGGCACGAATGGCACAGGTTGACAGGGTTCCGCCAGCTGGTGCCCCTGGTCTCATTCGCTTGCCGAGTATATCGGTCGCATGCACGTGATTCCGCCCATGAGAGAAGCCACATCGTGACGACGAAGAAGGGAAGAGGTGGCGCCGAAGCATGGCGCCCCGCCCGTAGCGGGGGGGCAGCCTTGGCACCTAGTGGAACTGTGTGAGGGATGTGCGTTTGGCTGAGTGCAGGGCTTGGCGCCCGAAGGGCGCCCCG